ATCAAATACGTATTGTTTAACTCTAATTAATCATGATAATAATATTTGTTTGTAATCAGTCTTCGTACAGTTAATTAAATTAATTAGTTGGACATGTATCAGTCGTAAATCCTGCACTGTTTACGATATCCTCGATCAATCAACGTGATGACTGATTGTGATCTGTGCTGACCTTCCAAAGGCCTATTTATCTATTTCATTCTTTGATCATATCATTCGAGGGTACCTGGCAAGCATATTGCGTTGTTTATCTTATGGATTTATCGAGACGTCTTACATTTTCTACAGGAATTTAGAGGAGTGATCTTGAAGTTTAGCTTTTCAAGGTAATTTTTATGTGAAATGTTATATTTGGTGGATTGAAAAGTAGTTTTAAAAATTATATTTTTAATAATAGCCCAACATAATATTAAAGTGAGCTTTCTATCAATTTTCATCTATTTTATGAATGCCAGAAACTAGAAATTTTAATTTCCTATATCTACATCTTATACTAACAAATAATTGTGCACATTAAATAAGATCATTATATGCAATCTACGACTTGTAATAAACAACAAGGTCAGTTGCACTTCCGCGGCACATGGCCGCCTGCGCTGGAATGACGTCACCACAGTCCAGGGACATCCGGATTATTGCCTGATGAGCTAAGCTTGACAGACTATAAGTCGTGTCAGGGTTACATTGCGACAGGAATGTGAAGATTACATTGGTACATCGAAAGATATGGATTAGCGTTAATCAAGACGTATGAGCTTTAGTTTTCATATATTACGGAGTGATTCGTAGTAAATATCACAAGTTATACAAAAACAAAATGGAATCATTTGTTGTCACCATACTAATGATCGTAATAAATACGCAAAAAACCCAAAGAAATTGCTCAAACACACTTGACCTAGCCAGGACGCATCGAATAAACAAAATTCCATAAAAATTAAACAAACAACTTGGATTGCAATAACAACACGAATGATAATGCAAATTATTACAGACACACGAACATACAATAAATGTATGAACCTGAAATAGGTGCGTATTATTAGCTCCACCTACGAGCCACCACTAAATATGTGTAAATATACAAGTGAGTCACGTTCAAAGTGCTGCTCGACGTAAATTAGATAGAATTATGAAGGTACATCGTGGGAATTATTGCATATGTAATTGTACTAGTAACTTTATAGCTTTGAATATTCTGCAGCTGAATTCATCGTTTTGGTTTTGGCCGTCATTTAGCCGTTTGAGTAAATAAATCTCGAATTGTAACAGTAGCTGTTTTTATCGAATTTATAATATCTATCGTGAGACATACTAAATTAACTAAAAAAGTCGCGGGTTACTCACGTGAATATACTGAGAAAAGCTCTACTACGTAAACCTAGATACTCGCAAAGAATAGGCTGGTTGGTCTCAGGTCCATTTAAAATTAGTAATGCATCGCGCTTCGACACATCTACAGTGTTAAACTGTACAATTAAATTCAATATGTTCATCAATTTATTAAAAATCGATAAAAATAGATTAAACAGATTTTTAGTTATATATCGAATTTGTATAAAAAAATCCACACAAAAATCTGTATTTGTTAGTAAAAAAATACGTTCAAAATAAAGCTACAATCGTATACTTTAACTTAAGATCTAATTTTAATATTCCCTCCTACTCAGAGCGCAAGAAACTAGCTCTTTCCTTTCCAATTGAAAATGGGCGTGACCAACAAAACTATCGTCCGATACATCACTATGGCTCAGTGGACAGATTCAAGTCGGAAATGTCACGTGGCACGTGTGTTAGTGTGTAATTATAACTTGACACATCACGTCTTCACGCTGAGAGCTGCGGGTGAGGCAGGAGATGCCTGATAGATGCTCTCATACGACAAGGAACTTCCACACTATAATGAAATTAAAATATCTAAAAATATGAGATTGTCATATTAGATAACTGATTTAGGGCCAATTTTTCAATGCTCAGATACATTTTAACTGATGAAAAACTTTCGATATTTGGCATATCTTCCATAGTAACAACTGTCAAATGTTAATTTTATTTTACAGCTATATTTTTGATCAGCGAATTGACTGATCATTGAAAAATCGGACCTTAGTTTTAAGCTTAGCTTTCGTAAATTTCGTAAACAAATTCGATGTTTGACGCAATTACAAGACGTTACCTTTTGCCTTCATAAACACTAATACTATGGCAATAGGCTCACCCCCTATTACATGGGACTCATAACATAAATAGTAAAAGTAGGTGTTACATTGTACAGTGGCATAATGTACACCGCTGCCCACCTCTTCGGGGATAAAAAAGGCGTGATGTTATGTTACTATTATATTGGACATCGAAAAAGTGTTGAAAAAGTGGTTATCTTACTCATAATCAACACAATTACCTATATGTTTTGAATTAAATAGTAAGTTTGTGATAAAACAGAGACCTTGCTTGTTTTGACCGAATCTTTGTTTACATCAAATAGAAGAGAAAAAACTGATGAATGAAAGTTTTGTTACAACACAGACAATTTGCTCTAGATAATAGGCATAATAAATATTGTTCTTGGACGAAATATTCTTTACCGTCCGTCCATTTTTCAGTCATCCAAGAACAAAATATCATCGTGCATTATTTGTTGTACCTTGTACGCTAGCAATTTCGGAATTAAAAACACGATACGAGAATCGGACTAAATGAAGAATTATCATTATAGTGTTTCAATAGTCTCCAGTTTTATATCTATTGCTAAAGACCAGTTAAAATATTTCTGTTTCCTCTCATTTCTTGAAAACAGGAAACTGATCATTATTTTGAAATATTGCTGGCGTTACTGATATTTATTATTTGTTTAGTCTACTGTACAGTTAGCGAAATTATAATATTGTATCAACGGCTTATAAGAAAAAGATACTAATCATATTTATAGGAAAAAGATATCAATATCATTGATATATAAAATATGTAATAGTGAAAAATGAAATATCATTTGCTATATTGAAATGACCTATTTTTTTTAAATAGATATTTCTATAGTTATTAGAAATGTAAGACTAGCCGTCATGATTGATGGCTAGCCTATTTCTGAATGCTACATTGACCTATTTTCCTGATCATTAAACCAGACGTACAATGACAAACAAACTTCCGAGTCTTACAAAATGATCACGTCACCATGGTAACCGGATGACAGATACCGTAAACATACAACTTTTTTTACAAATGTGAATATTTTACGTTGTGAGAAAAAAGAGTAAAAGTAAGAACTATTGATTGCAGATGATGTCATTCAAGCGACAGTTCTAAAAGTTGATACTCAGAACGAAAGAACTGTTCGACGTCCAAATGTCAGTGTACGGCGCGCCAATCAGCTCCGCGTTCCTCACTGTTTACTATTCAACAACTTTACCACCACACACCCCATCATTCTTAGCACCCAAGCAATAAGACCTATAATCCCTTGATTGACAGCGAAGAAAAGTTTGTCAAAGTAAAAGACTGCGAATTAAATTTTGCGAATGTCGAAGCTCTTATCGCGGGGTAGTAAGGTTTGTTATACATTGTTTGGTGTACGAAGAAAGTTTGTGGGAGTAACAGGCCCGGTAGGCCGGTCTAAATGCGTCCGCGTCTTTGGCACGGCACTGGGGCAAGGACGCAGAGCGCCTATGCAGTCCGCAGATTGATTGACCGATTAATCTTAGCGAGACAAGACTGGGAACATGAAATATTATCGATCTTATAACGTGTGGATCCAGCGTGGGATGATGACTGTCTCCAGAGACAATTTAGGTACATGAAACACGAAATTTATTTAAAACGGAAACAGCCGTAATGTGTTTCTGTGTTGATCGGTTGCGTATAAAGTGTAATAAAATAAACTGACGCTTTTAATAACGATGTATGATGAAACCAGCGCTCACACTTCCCTGTTTCCGACAAAGTAAACTAGCACATATATTTTACTGCAATAAATGCACTCGAAGCCGTTACGTGCACTATTACATCGATGTACTAAAAGCTTCGTAAAGAACAACGTAATATACAGTCTAAAATCTAATCTAGACTCCTAATGAAAAGTAATTTCTCAATTAAAGTATTTCCATCAATAATAGTTTCCTAAGGAGCTTTAAAACGTATCTTTCGCATTTAACGTAACATGAGTTTGATCTTTGCAGTATTTATTAAAGGAGACACAAATATAATTCATACAGTGTAGACAGATGGGTCAAGTTCATCTACTAATTCAACATGTTTGTTCAGTAAATATTTCATCACATAGGAATGTACTGTTTATCGTGGACTGTTTTAATTTCATGTCAGCTGTCCTACGAGTTGTGGCTACATTCACGGCGATATTTTCATACATATTTACACTAAGATGTACCGTCTCCTATCCATACAGTATGTACAATACCTGAGTATAACTACATGTTTTATTAGTGTGTTGTTTCGTATGTTTGTTTCCCTGTTTGTACAAAATCCTGTGTCTAGTTGTCCGTGTAGTGGGTAACGTTCACTTCACTTCACACACGAGATGGTGGGCGTGGGTATGTACACATGAAGAGGTTCAATGGGGTCGGCAGAGGAGCGAGTAGACTATTACAGGAGGATTACGAAACGGTTCGATCGCCGAAGTATTGGTGTCGACGCGCGCGTGCGTCGCTCTCCCAAACACAGCCGTGACTGCGTACGAGCCCGTACTCCGATACTCACTACGCTCCTAACTCACAATATTCTATCACGATTCTATCCAAATCCACTTTGATTCAATCGCGTGACGTTTTTCAACCAAGATGAATCTCATTTTGTATGCAATGTGAACAATGTAGCGCCATGTTGGGCCCGCGTAGTGAGCCATACCCAAGCGTGCCAAGCGTTATTGACGGACTTACTGACAAATGAGTGGCGGCGAAATCTCACTTCTGTTACTGAACAAACCAAGTGAAATAACGAATTAACTGAATAAATAATCTGACTTTAATTTACTTTAAAACAAACTTTTGGGTATACAATACTTAGGTTCAATAGATCATATAAGAATGTAGCACTTGCGGTCATCTGAAAAAGAGAAGAAGATATTTCAGTGTGCGTACGAACAGTTTCGAAACACGGATGTGAAGAGGCGGGAAGCCGCGGCATCCGGATCGACATGTCCGTATACACTACGGTTAAAATAGATTCATCATATTATTGTACATTACGCTGACGCTAAATATTATTCAATTGTGTTTTGACTACTTCTGAATGCGATACCCACGTACTAATTTAGTAATTTATGTACAGCATTAGCCACAAAATGATGTACGAGTAAGTACACATTACTGAGGGTTCCTATATCGGGATTGCTATCAGACTTAGAGTCTGTTTCACAATATCTGGATAGCCGTTATATACCAGATAAATTTGAATTAAGAACTTAATTTGCATGAACTATCTGTCACTTAAGTTTATCAGGTACTTATATGGAGGTAGTGAAACCAGCGCTAAGGCTGGTAAATGAAATGTGTTTACTAGGGAAGTTTACAATAACTCAATAATACCTTTATATCCAACCGTTGAACCGTTATCGATCCATCAAATGACAAATCTATCCACACGCACATGGAGTGACGATCCCCGTAAAGTAGACAGCAGTATTTGGACGTGCAGAGCTGGAAATTATAGTATAGTAACGGATGGGGACAGGTCGTTAATGATGAGGATAACAAAGACAAAAGATATTAACATCCATAGAACACCCAGAGAATAGGGGTTCCTACTAGTGCTTCGAGCTGGAGCTCTTGGTTTGTACTTGGTTTTTAGTAAGGGACTGACACTCCCTCTTGTCTCAACTAAGGTGGGACGAGTTATTGGAAGATTTTCTTTCGTAAAAAGGTGATAATCTGACCCGATGCTTAAATAGAAGTAAATAATTATCAGAATCCTAATTGATGCTGCTTTTTTTTCTACCTCCCCTCCCCTTCCGAGTCTTCTGCCTAATCCCCAAAAGGCCGACAATGTACTTGTAACGTCTTTCATGTTTCGGGCGTCTATGGGCGGCGCCGATTGCTTACCACCAGGTTAGCTCGTCTACCAGCTTATCCAATAAAAAATAAGTAAAAGTTATCATGTCATGTACAGTCAGTGCGGCCCGTGCGGCGCGGGCAGCAGTAGACAGCGCCGCACGACGTGCAGCCCGTCCAGGCGCACGGCCAGCACGCCGCACACGGCGGCCGGGCCGCGCGCCGCGCGCACCGGCAGCACCTCCGTGTACCCGGGGCTGCCCGCGCTGTACGCCAGCAGGTCGCCCAGGTACAGGTACGCGTACCTGTACCACCAGGTTACGTTATACGCGCCTCTGCTTAACGTTCTCTCTGTCAGTACATGGACCATACAACAGTAGTTTATGTACTGACAGTGGAAATGTTAAATTATTATTTTGAGCTGGAGTATTGATATTTTGATGTTGTTTGTCTTTTATGTTTTTGTTCTGTGTATAGTATTTTTTATGATCCATGTAATTGATAATATAAGCTCATAGGAAGCTTCTGGGAACTAAAACAACAGCCTATCATCGAGAGATAGATAGATACATATTCTCTAGTTACTAAAAAACTACCAAACCAAAATGTTATGAGTCATAACATTTTGGTTTGGTAGTTTTTTTAAAGAAAGGGAGAGAGGGTTTGTCACAAACCCTCTCTCCCTTTCTTTTGGCTGGTAATGTTAATTACAATAACAATACATATCATAAAACTCATATCACGAGAGCAACGTCATTTTACATTCAGTCAAAAAAATATCAGGAATGGATGATTTGTTTATGGTTCCAAATTAAAATCTTTGTTTTTTTTTGTAGTTTTTAGATTTGGCGCGGAGTTTGAGTTGCATCTGTTATTTATACACCTCTGGACACATCTATTGGCCCACCTTAGAGTTTAGGTTTCGATGGCCCCTATCGAAATATGATTGATAAATTGAACAAAACTGTTGATGCAGTTTTAAACCTGATACATGTTACCGTCTTTTTTGATCGTATTGTTTTAAATTTGAATTCAGAATACCAAACAACATGGAGCTACGCCTAACAAATCGGATATGCGCCTTGTTAAAGGCAATTGATTTTTGAATAAAAAACATGTTTTATCAAATAAAGGTTTAATTTAATAACGCGTGTTGCCTCCATGAGCATCTACCACAGCTCTCGTACGATTAGGCATAGAGTTTATCAAACGCTCCATGAAATTTTGAGGGATCATCTCCCATTCCTCTTCTATGGCAGTTTTCAACTCCTGCATCGTCTGGGCTACTGACTGGCCAGTCCATAGCAACCCTCTCTTCAAAGCAGCATTGTGTGAAACGCTCTCCCTTACGTCGGTAGACCTTCTTCCTTCCATCATTGCCATGTAATACAATTTCAGACTCATCAGAAAAGAATACACGGCTTCAATCTTGCTGTGTCCAATTTAAATGACTGCGTGCGAAATGATGGCGCGCTGTTCGGTGGGGTCGCGTTAGCTTGGTCCCATTAGCTGGCTTGTTTAGTACCATATCGCGTTCTTTTAACCTTCTCCGAACAGTTCGAGCGCTCACAGATACTCCGTTGAAGTTGCGAAGTTGGTTTTGTATCTTAATGGAGGTAAGGTGACGATTTCTCAAGCTGGTCGTCACGATGAATCGATCCTGCCTTTCAGTTGTGATTGTGATCCGAGATCGTGGCCTTCCTTGGCGACGAACAAAGCCGCCAGTCTCTAGGTACCTCCGATAAACATTTCGGACCGCTGATCGACTTAAATTAAGTTGAGCACTCAAGTTTCTTTGGCTGTGTCCGGCCTGAATAAGTGCCACAGCTTGGGCGGCGACTTCAGGTGAAGTTAGAGAAAGACCTTAATGTTAAGAATAAGTAATGTTTGTTGCAAAACCAAAGATATCAATCACTTTTTCAAGAATTAACTCGTCGAGTACCGTCTTGTAGACACAATTATAGAACAATAGGTTGCGGTCACCGGTGACCGCTTGGTGTTTATTTATTTATTTACATTAAAATGAAAGTTTACAGCAAGAGCCAAAATACTTACATTCTAGGATACAAAAAGAAACTTAAACCTATTACAATATTAATCACTTAGATAGTTCCTATTCCTATATTATTGAGATTTATATTTAAAAACTTATACATTAATTTCTGTATGACATACGACTTATCGTGGAACACATCTAATTCTGGGTGCTGAGCTGTCATCGAGTTCATGAGACCCATCGCTCTTGCCGTTGGTGCTGCAGCACCTCGCTTTGTGCGTACGCCTAGCAAATAATTTCCTCCGCTTACGCGGTCCCTCTGTGCCATCACCAGCCTCGATATATCGTTTAGGAACTCCCAATAACCCCACTCGTGCTAGTGTAGTGGGATTGTCTACCTTGTTACTGAGGAGTCGATAGTAGTGTACCAGTAATAATAATTTACGTCTTAGTTGTAGGGTCGTCTGAGACAAACATTGAAGGATAAAGGTAGGGATAATATCCGTACCTCTTCTTATAGACAAATCGAGCGAATTGCAATGATGGATCCGAATTTGTGATAATTTCCGGAGTATACCATGGCGGATATTTGTACCTTTGGTTTGCTACACTATCCTTTTTTACTGGCACTACATTATTAATACAATTATTTAATTTATCATAAAACTCATGAATAGATAGATCTATATCAGGTTGATTATACATATTCATCCAGTTAATACTAGCTATCCTATTATAAAGTAAGTGAAAATCTGCTTTGCGAAAGTTCCAACTAGGTGATGATGACGGGTTTCGTCGTGGCTCACGTATTATGCTGTGCGTCGTAGGAAACCCCCGCGAAAGGCTAACAGTGACCAATAGAGGCGGATGATAGTCATCAGGTGGCACTAAATTATCACAGCTCTGGGATACAGAAACGGCCTGACAATCGAGTCCGCTTAACACCAGATCCAATATGCTGTTATCTTTATTAGTAATCCGATTATGCTGTATACATTTACAAAAACTAAGAAACAAATTATATTATTCGGTTTTCACATTATGACTGCATGAATTTAAGTTAAAATCTCCCAAAACAATAAATTCCAAAGTTGAGTACTTACAAATAACCTGTTCAATACAAGATAGTACACTTAAATATTGAGAATCTTTATAGCTGGGTGGTAAATAAACCACACTACATAGAACATTTTACATTTTTCCAAGCAATTAGTGCAAACAATACCTCTTTATCTTCAGTTAGTTCAGGTACATCCGTCAACATTGTTACCGAGAAGAGATTTTTAACAGCTAATAGTACACCTCCCCAGCCTACATCACTGGCACGGTCCTTTCTCAACACTGTGTACTCACTTGAGAACAGTTCACCATCACACACTGAACTATTGAGAAACGTTTCAGTGAGGGCAACAATATTTGCATCAACTGTTGGCAGCGTAAACCTCTAACATTCTGATAGTAACAAGTTATATATTTTAAAGAATTTTTAGAACTGGTCCTTATTTTTGTTTTTTTCCGTCCATTTTGGAACGAAAATTCTGCTTCCTAAGTTTTATACAAATATCTTCAGCCCAATTATTAGCATTAAGTACACATTCAGACAGTTTGGCAGGAACTCCAATTTTGAAAGAAGCATACTGTCCACGGGCTTTCAGTGCCTCTGCAGTACAGGTATCTGTATCACATATCATCACATATCGTGAACAAGGCCAGTGGTCCCGATGGAATCCCAGCCCTGGTTTTAAAAACCTGTGCGCCTGAGTTGTCTCCTATCTTGACACGTCTGTTTCGCCTTTCCTTGGAGACGGGTCAAGTACCGGTTGCATGGAAGCTGGCCAACGTACAGCCTGTGCCTAAAAAAGGTAGTCGTGCCGACCCTAACAATTACCGCCCTATTTCGGTCACGTCCATACTCTGCAAGAGCATGGAACGTGTACTTAACAACAGACTCCTGGCATACCTTGAAGGTAACGATCTCCTCAGCGATCGGCAATACGGGTTTCGACGTAACCGATCGACTGGGGACCTTCTTGCGGATGCCACTCACATATGGAGCGAGGCCATAGAGGGGCACGGAGAGGCATTAGCAGTGTCCCTCGATATTTCGAAGGCCTTTGACAGGGTATGGCACGACAGTCTAATCGGCAAGCTTCCTGCATATGGACTTCCTATAACTGGTCTGTGCAGATGGATAGCAGACTTTCTGAGGGATCGGTCAATACGAGTAGTCATCGATGGCTGCTCGTCTGACCAATTCGGTATTAATGCCGGCGTCCCTTAGGGGTCAGTACTTTCAGCGACGCTCTTTTTGCTGCATAGAAACGACCTGCTTAAGCCCGGTATCTTTGGGTATGCAGATGACAGCACAGTTGTTGAAAGGTATGTGTCCGGTGCGCGGACTAGCGGAACACAGATCCAGTCTTTAAGAGAATCCATGGTCGAACGTTAGAACTCGACCTTGAAGGCGGTGTCCGACTGGGGTGACGCCAACTTGGTTAGGTTCAATGCTAGCAAAACCCAGGCGTGTCTATTCTCCGCCAAACGGAGTCAATTTCCGCTGACTCCTACTTTCCGGAATGTATCCGTACCGATAACCGATCGTCTTGAGCTTCTTGGTGTAACTCTGACGCCCACACTCAACTTTGGCTCCTATATAGAGTCAAAGGCGCAACTGGCTGGTAGGAAGTTGGGTGTCCTATGGAGGGTGAGACGGTACTTCACGCCGAAACAATTGTTGAGCCTGTACCAAGCACAGGTTCGGTCCTGTATGAAGTACTGCTCTCATCTTTGGGACGGCTCGGCAAAATATCAGCTGGACGCGTTAGAGCACATTGAGAGGCGTGCCAGGAGGCTCATCGACGATGATGCGCTAGTAAAAGCTCGGCTTCAAAGCCTCGAACACAGGCGTAAGGTTGCAAGCCTTTCGGTTTTCTACCGGATACATTTCGGGGAGTGTGCGGGGGAATTGCACAACTTGATTCCCTCTAGTCCTTTCCATCATCGTACCACAAGACAATCCGCGAAGCGTCACCGTTTCATGGTAGACGTTCCGCCCACACGCACGAAGCGCTTCGCTTCAAGCTTCCTTGTGCGTACTGCTAAAGAGTGGAATTCTTTGCCAGAGTGAATAGGTTGCTTATGGGACGACGTGCTCCATCGTAGACCGCATCATCGCTTACCATCAGGTGAGATAGTGGTCAAACGTCGCCCCATCAAATATATAAAAAAAAAAAAAAATTTAGATGATCCAGTACTTGGTCTTCTGTTGTACCCAACTTAACATAATACAGATGCAGGTAAGTCCATTTATTAGACGCTTCGATGGCGGTAGAACCAGGAGTTGCTGTGCCTCGTTATATATTTGTGTTTCGACTCTTACTGTGTTTGTACGTTACCTGGGTCCAGTCATTGGCATTGATCCTGTCATCATTTTGGCAGTTTAAATCCAAGTAAACCAATAAAACCAAGTTTTCTTAGTATTCGATTGTTTGATATCAACAAACAGGCTCCAAATCTTTTGTTTCTTTAAATTTTGTGTTCGAAATTCAAAAAAAGACTATTGAATGAAGTTGTGCATGTGCCAGGCTCAAAACTGCATAAAAACTGCGTGACCTAATATAAAATTATAGCTAGGACCAAACGAAACTGAAAATACAAGGTGGGCCAATAGATGTGTTCAGAAGGTATTAAATACAGTGCTGGTTTTAGTAATATCATATAATAGTGTGTATTGCGAATTTCATACTGGACAAAAATATCGAACAAAGAGTTTTTCTTCAATTTTGCATCGGCAATGGAATTTCGTGTTCGAAGGCTGAATCGACTTTATCTATTCAGAAGGCTGAATCGACTTTGTCAAAAACTCGTGTTTATGAGTGGTTCAAAGCGTTCAAAAGCGGTTGATATGTGATGGAAAATTTGCCTCGCTCTGGTAGGCCGTCAACGTTTGCAACTGAAGTTAACATCGCAAAAGTGAAGGAAATAGTGACTGAAAATCCCCATTCAACTCTGACAGAGATAGCCACCGAACTTTCTGTATATCACGAGTTAATCCGTACCATTTTAACTAATCATTTGGGTATGAAACACGTTGCTGCTCGGCTAGTCCCAAAAGATCTGAATTTTCTCCAAAAACTCAATCGCATGAAAGTCGCTGAGGACATGCTAGAACGAGTCAGTTCGGACCCAACATTCATGAAACGCATTGTTACTGGTGACGAGACGTGGGTTTACGAGTTTGACATGCAAACTAGTCAACAAGCTTTGGAGTGACGCCTTCCAACTGAACTGAAACCGAAAAAACCACGCCAAAGTCGATCAAAAGTCAAAGTCATGTTGACTGTTTTCTTTGACTATCGCGGTGTTGTGCACTCTGATTTCTTACCGGAAGGTCTAGCGGTAATAAAAGAATATTATTTGAGCGTTATGCGGCGTTTAAGAGAACAAATTCGACGAAACGGGCCAGATTTGTGAATATGAACATGTTTGGTGAATATGGTGGTTGCTGGGTGGTATTTGTCAACAAATACCATATATGATATGGCTCCTGCTGACTTTTTTCTTTTTCCTAAACGTAAATTACCACTTCGTGGCATCCGTTTTCAATCGATAGAAGACATAAAGGAAAATTCGCGGCGAGAACTGAACTCAATTCCGAAAGCAGCGTTTAAAAAAGGTGTAAGGTGTATCGTTTTTAAAAGAGCATACTTTGATGGTGATAAAATAAATTTGGACGAAAAATGTTGTGTATTATTGATATTTTCCCGGTACTTTCTTGATAGAGTAGTATTAAGATGTGCCTGATGTGATTTTAATGCAGTTACATGTAACATCCACTTTGCGCGAGAAATCGGGACTCTTTTTGTGAATTACTACTTCAGTAAGAAACAAAAGATACATCAATGAGATCATGTTCAAAATGGCAAACCCTAATGTCCTGTACAAGAAACTATTTTATTTTTGATACTCACCCAATATCCTCACAACTCTCGAGTCCGAGTGGATCCTCAGCGGGTTCGCTGACGACGGAGAAGATGATGCAGTCTCTCTCGTCCTGCGACATCTTGCTGGCAGCACGACACCGTGCCATGTGACTGAGCTTCATCAGGTCTGTGTCTTCCAGTTCGAATGCTACAAGTAGTAAAGTACAAGAAACTAGAGATATGAGTCTCAAAAATAAAAATTACCAGTCGGTGTGATTTGAAAGAGATTTTAGTTTTAATTGATAAGGCAAATAAGGAGTGACTATGATAAGAACAGAGTTATGCTCCTTTTAAGATGTACAAAAAAAATAGTATGAGTATGTTTTTCGATTTGCGATTAGCTTTTTATAACGTTCTAAGAGTAATACTTAATATTAGACTGGGTTTATTTATTATTCGTATGTACTGCCGTATTATTCGATACATAACACAGTCAATGAAAGAAACTTAACACAAAAAATGAGTACTAACTTTTCTTAAAGTTAAAGTAGCACTTGTCAACATAGTGTTTCGGCTTGGGCAGGCTGACGGGAGTCTCCAGGTCGGCGCCGGTCCGGCCCAGGAAGGTGTACGCGACGTAGACGCGCTGTACGTGGGGGTCGACCATGGCCTCGCACTCCTCGTTGAGGGCCAGCCACAGCACCGTGATGTCCAGGCGGTTCATGCCACTTACTGCTTCTTCTTCCGTCGGGTACTCCTCCTCTTGAGGATAAATTACCTAATGATTTAACGTTTTGTTTAATAATGGTCTTTTGTAACAGCAATTGTAAGGGTCTCGTGTTATTTGGGTAACACTTTGAATATTAATTGATTTTTTATATTTTATATATTACATGGCTTATTTTACATATTATATGCTTACCCTTTGTGGTTCCTCCACCCCCGAGTCGGTGTACTTCGGCAAGATCTTGACGCACTTCTTTGACGCATCATTCCTATTGGGACCTGGAATTAAACACAATTGTGACTTTATCAAAATAGTAAAAAGATTTAACTAACAAACAATTATATATTGTTTATACATTTTATTTTTATTATAGTGGCAAACCACACTCCATTAAAGACTGGCAACATACTTGTGATTCCTCTAGTGTTACGGGTGTCTATGGGCGGCGCTGACCGCTTACCATCAGATGATCTATCTGCTTATTCCCCCCTGATTCTATAGTGCCAATGAACTATATAGACGGTTTACAGATATTTCCCTACGGGGATTGAATGTATATTGAAAATGCAATAAGTATACGTCACCTATGAGCTTGCCAATATTTTCATATTTCCTGTATATCTCCATGTCGCTAATGTCGCACTTGTCCTCCGTGGCTCGACCTGCGTCAACATAGCACGTGATACTTACGGCCGATTTTTCTAATACCAGGTAATTTTATCGGAGGAATATTTTGAAATTTTTGACAATTCTTCCATACTAAAAACGTAAATTTTATCCTACAATTAAGAAATATCTGTTGATTGAAAGATAGGTCCTTTGTGGTGTAAGGTACTTAGAGGGCAGTCGATCCATGTAAAGAACTGACTTTCAACTGTATACAATGTTATAAAATGGAAGATAGAATTCAGTGTTAATCCCAAAAATAAATTAGGAAGAGGTCAAATGCTAACTAACCTAACCACGGTACTACAAGTCAAAACACTAAAATGTCTATATCTTTTAAGACTTCTCACAACGTCATAGATGTTCGCATGGACAAACATTATTATTTTCTGAGACTTTGTACCCGCTGACAAATATATACATTATACTCACTGCTTCTCCTCGTATTTTGCATTTCTCCGCGCTGACTTTCACGCTTGTGAGGCTATGAAACATTGTAAAAAAATGCAAATAAACTTAGAAAAAAAAAACGATAGATTTTTATCCATTCTACAACTACTGATCTTTTATAACTTACTATCGACCCGCCCCGGCTTCACACGAGTGCAATATGCATGTATCATACATGATACATATCCTAAACCTTCCATAAGAATCAAATTATTGATTTAAAAAAAACCGCATCAAAATCCGTTGCGTAGTTTTAAAGATCTAAGCATAGGTACATAGGGACAGATAGACGGCGGATAGCGACTTTGTTTTATGATAGGTAAATTATAGTTATTAGAATTGTGTCTAAATCGTAACAAGTTTTACTAAGACCCATGCATCGCTGCAATTTTAGACAGCTATAGTGATTAGATAAGCAGAGCGACATTAGATACTTCTCGTAAGTAAAACAATAGCCCTCATCATTGTGTAATCGAGCCTCAAGCGGTAACTACCAGCTTTGACTGTACAGTATTACAATTTAGAACTTACGTATCGACTGCTTCTTCTTTGCAACTTGGCCGTACTTTTCTAAACAAAAATATAAGCAATATTTAAATAATTGCTTGTTATTTTCGTATTACTTTTTTAGACTCTTATAAGTATTACAACTGCATTCTGAATCTACTGTTAAAAGTATTGCAAAATTTGCATACTTAAGGCCACAATAAAGCTTTCAATAGGTATACCTACATAGGTCTTCAGGTAAAATATAATTTAAATTTCATTAATAACAATAACGTAAGTACTCACTAATGAGCCAAAACTGGAGTTTACTTTTGACGTAATGTCCTGTAGACAACCAAAATATATTACTTAGTTTATCATCAACAGTAATATCTACGCCGTTGCTTTGTCTTCGTATTAGAAGGAATGGACATACATAAGACTAAATGAGCCCAAATTCGAGATGTTTACTAGCATAAAACTCAGGGTTTCATTAACCATCTTCCAATTCTATCATCATTCCACCTATATGGCATCATAATATTGTATGATCATCTAATCTACATATAACTGCCAATTTTCATGTTATTACAACAATTACAAGTGTGTGTAATTCAGATTCTTAGATTTTATTCCGTAATTCGTTAGGGGTCGATCTAAGAAATCAGATTCCAGGTAAAAAATGGTTGTTCCCGCTTGAAGCTCTTACTAACAATACGATTAACCTGAATAACTAGACATTTAAGTGATCTTATGAAGGAAGAACTGCACAAGTTTAAGATAACATGTCATGTATGGTGGACGAATATTTCCGTTGGTTAGAAAATACTATATTATTTTCGATATTATTAAAAGATACTTACATCTTCTACTTTGGCCGATCTGCCAAAATCATAGTTTTTCTGTAAATAAAGAAATACACTTACAATAAGTACATTACATTACACTTAACGTCAGTAGACGTCGCGACAGGCCCAAAAGGAGATGGCGGGACGAATTAGACATCTATGAAAAGGATTGGCCGCAAAAAGCTTTACACAGTGGCGTGCAGGCCATATAGGCGAAAAGGCTTTGCCTACCTATAAATATCGTGAATATTTAACATGCATAAAATGTACAAACGCGTTTATTAAAATTCAATAATATAATAATAAAAGTTTGTAAAAAACGGCTTACATAAATACGCGCCTATGTAAAGTAATGAATGCGCCCCGCACGCACCACGCATGCGCCACTATTCCTTAAATCTTGGTTGGCAGTAGTGACGTCACAAAAGAAATGTACCAAAAGTATGCACCAAGCATGCGTGAAGTTCACGACCATAGTCACGGTACAGAATAACCATTCATAATTATATTACACGATTCCTGTTGATTGACAAAATGTTTGCAACTAAAAAATTAGAGGACCGTTCGTTCATCACTTGGAAAACGACCGTATTTTATTAAGAATTCTAAAACAATAAAACAGCAACAAGTTATTGTATTTTTAAAAACAATTAAATTATAAAAGGTTTTAAATTGATAAAATCTGTATATCGTAAAGTACTGATGAATGGAGTACATCAGCGCCATCTATTGAATTTTTTGTTGAAACTTCTGAACTCGTTCGATATAATGCGAATGTATTTTTATAAATGCGTATTTAACAAATATGTTTCAAGTGTTTTAATTAAAGCTTAACATTTTTACGCGTTGTCGGTTTATAGAAATTTTAAACGAGGAGTTGACTTTATTATTATAAAAGTTAAAAGGAAGTTATTGAAACTTCAAGATGGCGCCATTTACAACGTTTCAAATTATATGAATGAATGTTTTTTAGTATGAAATATTGGTTTAAGACGATGATGCAATTTCATTTGACTTACTAAATTAACCTTTGTTTTTTTTAAATTAAACGCTGCATTACCTTAATTTTTAAGCTACATTTTTTTATAATAAACACTCAATTGACTATTGGTAATGACTTCAATTCGTTTCCAATGTTTTCGGCCATATTGTTTTCATGTGATGTGCGATCGCTTTGTTTATGTTTTCGTTTAAATTATTAGGAATTAGTTTTAAACATAAAGTTGCATAAATGTGTAGTAGTAGTTAAATATATGTGTAGGTTTTTCAAATAGTGTATTTGTTTATCAGTTTCTAGTACAAGTACCTATATTATTCGATTGTGAAGTGTGTGTGAATAATAGGTAATTTTATGTGTTTGTTGAAAGTAAAAACAGTAAGATTTCGCAAGAAAATGTCCTTTATCGGACTAGATTCAGGTAAAGACCATAGGCAGAGGTGTACTCGAGTTACGAGAATTGACCCAAGTAAAAGGTAGGTAATGTAAATATGTACTATAATGGATCTTTTATTTGACTTTCTTGTTTATTGTTTGATAATTCTTAAAAATATCAACTTAGACTTCGGGTTGTACTGATTCACATATTAATTTATTATTAATAATTATGTAATGTAGTAATAACATATGTACCGCATAGACTCGGCCGGCTCGGCCACAGCCGGCCGCGCTTGTTATTGTTTTGTTTGTTGACATAATGTAGGTACCTACGCTCTTAAATTCGTAATATATTATGATTTTGAACAGATTGATTAAACTAAACAATTCCATAATGAAATTTGGTTCATCAAATTTATGCCTTATTATTAAAATAAATAATAGATCCTTCATTATTTGTAAGTTTTGTTGGCTTATTCAATAGCTGATGAAGTACTTCACAAAAAATACGCGAGTTGTCAGTGTATGTAATTTGGCGAAAGAATACACCACAATATTCTTGAACGCACTTTTCGAAATGTATTATGTACATGTACCTATCTTGTGTGAGCATGATTGTATGATCGGCGGGGGGGGGGCGGGGTTTAATCATACGATATTTAGTTGCCTACCCTGTCTCGAAAACCTGTGCACGCCACTGGCTTTACATAGAGAGAAGAAGAAGAAGGAGGGTAGGGAGGCCTTTGTCCTACAGAGGGAGGAAAATAAATAAAATAACATTACATTCACTCTAGACAAAATCATATTGCGTCTTTTCATGCAAGGCAAACAGCACTGCGCGGATTTTGATACAATATTCGTAACCGAACACATTCTTGAAAACGTTTTATGATCATAACTAGGTGACCCGGCTCACTTCGTTCCGCCTGTTTATTTTTCTCACCTTTTGAACCTTTAGTTGACTTCCATGAACATTTCAAAATTATACATTCGAGTTTTAACGAGACTAACGAACGGAAATTCATTTTTATTATATAGATACATTTCGGAAGATTGTTAAAGCTCCTTATAAAGAACCTTATAAAGGAATACATACTTACTTCCAGTACTTGCCTCATATCGTCTGGTGACTTGATTTTAGCGTGCTGAAACCATTCCCTTTCGGTATTATTTGTTACATATTGTTATACACATTTAGGTAAATATAACGAATAATCATCTTACCACGTCATTAATAATTATTCCCGAATCATGTTCCTGAAATAAAAAGGTAGAATTTAATAAATTGAAATCTATGCCTCCCGAATTAATTGCTCTTATTTTGATGCGCAACAGCTAGAAGTGGGCCATTGCAAATTATGCAAGTTACCGGATTCTCACGGAGTACACTAGGTGCCGAGGGAGAGGTGGGAGTGATGGTGGTGAGGTTGGTGAGGTTGGTGGACGTCGACGTCGCACTTAACCGGCGCTGGCGCATCGGAGGGTAGTTGCTCGGCTGTAACATACCAGACCACACTGATAACTACTTAACAACAACCACTAATTAATATAAAAACAACTCTTTCTGAAGAGTTGACGTGGTTTTGCAAACAAATTTTGAAGTCAACGAAATACCTACTGATTTTAATGAAACTTAGAACGTATACGCAACATATAAAGGTCTACATCGTTGAAAACATTTTAAAGGAAGAGATAGAGACGTTTTAAAGTTTCTAAACACATTCGACACTATACATATGTAATTGTAATAACTACTTGTTTTAAAGGATAGTTCGAAAATGAGTTCAACTCCTTGGAAAACTAATAACATAAATGAGTGAGGAATCAATAATTATACTCATGAACAGTTACGACGTAGATTCAATATAGATGTAGGTAACTGATCGAAGACTCGTGTAGGTACTGTGCGATGCCAAGTCTCGGCTATGCGATTAACGCGGACTGACATACATACGTACTTATAGCTGTACACATAGATATTGCAGTTACAGGATTTATAACAGAATATTTAATTTATTTAACTGCTTAGAACATCGTAGGTGTTTATAAAATATAATTTCAAATAAAAAAAATATTCGGTGCAGGAATTAAGACCGCGACATGTTGTATAGAAAGAAAAAGTCGCCTCGCTTCGCCAGTGAACTTTCGCCAACTAAACAGTCACGTAAAGTACCTACAGTATACTAAACGTAAAACGTAAACGTACCTAGGCAATCACAGTAGTATAATAAATAAGCTAAACTACGTATAATCATTTGGTACTAATTAAATACTTACATCATAAATCAGTTCCGGTCTCCTTACGTCTGAGATGCCGTCACTCACGGCAACCGGCGCGGTTCTCGGCGTGTTCCAGTAGTATGAGGTTCGACTATACTCCTAGTAAAACCGAAACAATTATTTGTACGGTATGGAGGACTGAGGTACATACGTAAAACATTGTCTTAGCAATCTATGCCCTACTAATTAAACTTCCCGGGCAAGTCTCTGAAGGAGACGTTACACATCTACCTATATGCTGATCAAGATGAAAACAAATACAAACAGCAGGTAGGTATTCAAAACATCTTGCAGATGTTGCACGTAGATTTGTCAGTAAGTACTAAGGCTCCGGCACGGGTTCATTTTTAGTCAGCAAGCATCTGACTCCGACTTTCTTTCGGCTTCCCCATGATAGAATGATTCATTTGATAATTTTCGATCCAGTCAAAAAGTTTTCACCTCGCCCCTGGCGACGTTCTTGTCGACATATTGTGGTGGTGCAGTGGAGACTGGCGTGGTGGCGACCGGAGGTGCATTCTCCAGTGCGAGGTCGAAGTCGTTGTAGCGGTCGTCGTCCAGGATCTGCGGCATCACGCGGGAGTTGCGGGGCACTGTGGACTGGGCCAGCGTCGGGGATGACGATTGCTGAGGGATAGTAATGATGCAGTATATACCTGTGCTATGGCGCGGTTGATGCAGTATGTACCTGTGCTATGGCGCGGTTGATGCAGTATGTACCTGTGCTATGGCGCGGTTGATGCCGGGCAGCGAGTGTGCCTCAGCTCTGAGCATGCACCAGAGGTCGATGACCCCGACCTCGTCCCCTCCGTCGGCAGTATGTACCTGTGCTATGGCGCGGTTGATGCAGTATGTACCTGTGCTATGGCGCGGTTGATGCAGTATGTACCTGTGCTATGGCGCGGTTGATGCAGTATGTACCTGTGCTATGGCGCGGTTGATGCAGTATGTACCTGTGCTATGGCGCGGTTGATGCAGTATGTACCTGTGCTATGGCGCGGTTGATGCAGTATGTACCTGTGCTATGGCGCGGTTGATGCAGTATGTACCTGTGCTATGGCGCGGTTGATGCAGTATGTACCTGTGCTATGGCGCGGTTGATGCAGTATGTACCTGTGCTATGGCGCGGTTGATGCAGTATGTACCTGTGCTATGGCGCGGTTGATGCCGGGCAGCGAGTGTGCCTCAGCTCTGAGCATGCACCAGAGGTCGATGACCCCGACCTCGTCCCCTCCGTCGAGTGCATCGTGCATGCGCATGAGCCGCGGGCCGACCAGTAGTGCGAGCGACATGTCCGCGCGCCGGTTGGTGTGCAGGAGGGCGTCGCGGAGTGGGAGGGAACATGTCGCGAACGGCTCGTTTTCTCTGTTCAGCTCGCAGATTGTTATTTTCATTTCCTCCTATGTAGAAATGTACGAATTGTATCATACTAACTGGTGACTGCAGAAGATTAGACCTGCTTGATTTGATTACCCTTGCATTTTGATTAAAACTGAGTAATAAACTAAGTTTTGAGTTAGATTTCGAAGTTTGCTTCAAATAATCTAAAACGAATGCTAAAGATTTCTCCAAATCGTGATTGTAATCTGACAAAATTATCTACCTCTCCTTCTAGACCAAATAGGTGTAGTGCCATTTAATGCTTTACTAGTATTTCCACATCTGATAAAACTATGTACTAACATGTTTCATATAGTTGAGGAAGTGTTCGGTGATCTTGATGTCGTACTCGGTGGAGAAGTCGAAGAGTACGACTCGCCCGGGGCGCATGCGCGTCATGGCAACGTTCTGGTCGTAGAACTTCCACGTCAACACCATCGTCTTGTCGCGGGAGCTGAGCACCGCCTATGTTTCGAAGGAATTACTTAAAATGGTGGAACAAACCCTTTTCTCTATATTTGTGTCTCACGAAACATAGGAAGATGAACAGACGCCTGTCTGTGTACTACTAGGTACTAACAAACACAAACTTCATATTACATACATACATAAGATTACACATATTTCTATAGACAACATTTATCCTTTCGGATCTGCAAAATGTTGCTTTGCGATAGTGAGATAACCTGCTTTTTTGGTATTATCGCATTTAACTTAAAAACGTGTAGGCCATTATTCTACTATTTCACTCTCAAATGGCATCACATGACACTACCTTATCTTTTACAATCCATTCATACAAATATTCAGAAGCAGTAACCTCGTCGGACAGCACGACGGTTCCGATGTGCAGTGTGAAGTTACACTTGGGGGCGTATGCGTCGCCGATGCTCTGCTTGGCCACGCCCGGCCGCAGGGAGATGGGGCGCGATATGTCGGACACGGACGTCTGGGACACGCTGGACACGAGCCGCCCGTGGGGCTGGCCCTGGGGCTGCATACAGACTACTAGTTGACGTATTTCTCTATATAAATCTACATTTTACAACGACTAGTACCCGTACCCTTTTTGTTCTTTGTTTTTAGCTGTCACTAACGGACAGATGGATTAATTCAATTTTGAGGTGTCAAAGCGCCTGTAAAGGATAAATTGAAATAAAGACTGATGAGCCTTTTCTATAGGGGTTAGCTATGATCCCAATACTTGGCAGACGGGTTAAGAATCTTTAGTCTTCTTGCATTTTTTTTATTTATATTTGATGGGGCGCCTTTCGGTCACTATCTCGCCTGGTGGTCAGCGATGATGCGGTCTACGATGAAGCACGTCGTCCCATAAGAAACCTATTCACTCGTAAAATAAATTATTTCTGATTCTGAGCCAAGTTTACTAGAGAAATGAACCTCCCAAAGGTATGTTTCGTTATTTTGATAATTTTACGTTACGAATTCTATAGTAATTCGTGCTTAGCACCATCAGTTATCATAAAGCGATCTACAATATGACAATGAATAAAAATACAGTCTAATCATCAAGAAATATATTTATTCATATGTGTACAATTGTACATAAATATAATATTTTCTACTTAGATTACTTAAATATAGGATTGTAATAGAGGACAAAAGCTCAAATTGTTATAGAGGTGGAAGGGAAGGAGAGGAAGATGTTATAAGAAAATACATTTTATTTGTAGAAGGAAGAAATTTTAACTACTGAGGAGGTAATGGTTTTCAAGAGGTTTTCTTATACAAAGTTACTTATTTCTATACAATATTGCAGTCTACTAGTACTCACAAAATATACAATAACATTACATCCAAAGTCTATCTATCACAATATGTACTGATTTCCACTACAACTACTCCCGACCGTCACCTAAGAACACTGTCGGTATTGTGTTGAGCTCAGCAGCCCGAGTTCCTAAAGGGCAAAAGTGATCATGTGGAGATACTTTAATAAATCTGTAAATCCCTATATTTAACGTCTACATTTCATTAACGCAATAATAGTATTGACGAATATTCGAGTATTAATACACCATATTAATTAATTTATTTCAAATGTTAAACGTGAGGACTTGTTATTGGCTCACTTGTTACCTACGCCTATTGTTATTTTTATCCATTTTTATATGCTGTAAGTACTCCATGAATTATGAATAAATAAATAAATAAATAAAAAGATAATCACGGCTATCCTGCGGTTATATTACGTATATTTATATTTAAGGATAAAAACGTTATAGAAGTCAGCCCGTCAAAGCAATCTATCTAATATTTTACATCTAATAATAATAAAATGAAATTGAATCTAGAGTAAACTGACGTCCTCGTGTATTTATTTTAAACTTACAAACAACATAACATAACATAACATCACGCCTTTTTATCCCCGAAGAGGTAGGCAGAGGTGCACATCATACAGCACTTACTGCGACTGTACAATGTAACACCCACTTTTCACTATTTATGTTATGAGTCCCACGTAATAGGGGGTGAGCCTATTGCCATATACCGCCACAATTCCAGACTCCGTACTACCCATGAGATTTTTTTAGAAAACTAGTAATACTTTGCTCGACCCAGGAATCGAACCCGGGACCTCTTGCCCGGCAGTCGCACTTGCAACCACTCGGCCAACGAAGCAGTCTTTAGATAAATGAATACTGGTCACCATGAACCTTATGTTGGACTATAGGTTTCTTCTACATATGAGAGGTTCAGCGATAATCTCAACTTGTGAGCTCCAAGGTCATATGTCTAGACATTGTAGGAGACAGGCGTGAGTAGCGAGTTCACCTCAGGTCGCTGCGCCTGTAGCAAGGACTTGCAGCGCGCCAGTTCGTCCTGTATAGCTCGCAGGGCTGCTTCCATCTTTGCTGCTGACTGTTCCGATCTTGGAGCACCCGTACTGGACAATATTACATTATTCATTTAAATATACCAATTTTTTTAAAAATCATTTCTAAAATGCGAATAGTTATTGTGAATATTGTGATGTTCTTGAGAAAAACAATGAAGCGTAAGATGTTGTCTTCAACTTACAAAATTGCAAACGTACAATAAGATTGTTTGAATAAAAATGTGTAAATGTATATTGAAATGTTTAGGTATTAAGACATGTAGGCACTTTCAATATACTTACGTGTCATCTCGTCCGTCCTTGTAACTATTGTCGTAGGACACCTTCCTTTCTGAAACAGAGTGAACCGTTGTATTAATAACGCTATATCTATCACCTGCTCCAAAACGTTACCGCACCATTCCTATAACGCTGAAGTTTTTTTGCAAGTGTGGGAGAGCCATGCTTCGGCACGAATGGGCCGGCTCGACTGGACTGATAGATACCACGGCCGAGCAGAAAACAGACGTGCAACAACAACGTTGCGTTGTGTTTCGTCGTGTGAGTGAGTGTGCCGAATTCCCCACAATCCTCAAACTCCTAATTCCCAAAAGGCCGGTAACGCACTTGTAACGCCTCTAGTGTCCGCCCTGAGGACACGGTGGAACACACGGTGGGAGAATGCCCTTCGTGGGCTGAGCACCGCCGTGTCCTCAGGGAAGTGATCGGCGATGGCGACCTCTCGCGTCCGGGCCTAGTGCAGGCCATGATGCGGAGCGAGGGGGATTGGGATGCCGTCTCCTCCTTTTGCGAAGCAGTCATGCTAGCTAAGGAGGAGGCGGGACGCGTGAGGCAGCGAAGCGCTGCCTCCTCGCAACCCAGCCATCGCGAAGGACACACCGGGCGTCGGGGATCGCGGGACGATCTCCGGCCACCGTAAGCGCGGGCCTGCGGACGGCGAGCATGGGTGGCTCCCCGTCCGACCAGAAACAGACCCGAGCGTACGGCGCGTCGCGTTCCGCGCGCGCCTCAAAGAGCCATCAGACCACCACAGATGGGGCCCAATAGGGCCGATGCCGATTCGGAGTCGCGGAGAACCTAACGGGTAACCGGGGCTCCGGCTCGACGTGCAGGAGAAGGAACGGGGTGGTTTTTAGTCAGTAAGAGTCTGACACTCCCTCCCGCCTCACCCAGGCGGGGGCAGTCATTCGATGATTTTCCCCCCTTAAAAAAAAAAAAA